CGCACAGTAATTACTCGCAACAACTGTAATCCAATATTGAGCAGGCAAATTACTAAAATATTTCTTAGCAAAATTTGTATTTGCTTTGGAATGCGTGACAAAAATAACTTTGAGTCGCAGCAAGAAAGCGCGAGGCCTTATTTACCTGTAGGCACAGCAAAATTATCAACACCGTCGTTGTGTATGCCCGATGCAATTGTCTCCTCAAAGCCCAAATAGAGCTATCAGAGTTATCAGAAAGGTCTTAATAATGTACAAAATGCTTTTGGTCTAGAAAAAAGCATAAATGCCGAGTGAAATATCGAATCGAAGCTATTTCAGGTTTATAATCAGGTCCAATTTAATCAATAGCCAATTTAATCATCATTGCTGCTCAAGCGAGCGGAGTGCAGTGTTCATTAATTTCACAAAAATCAATAACCAGCAGAGGGTGAAGTGACGAGACATTTGTAGCTTGTCAAAAAAAAAACATCATTTGTTTCTGGCCAGGAAACCCACTCATGTGATTTTCATTTCTCATAAAGGGGAGAATCCCCCCCGCCCCCCGGAATGTCCCCGGTCGGTCAGACACACACACACTCATACTCACTCACTCACTCACATACTCACTTACACAACAAGAGCCATTCGCCACTAAGTGGCGGTGACGTCACCACGACGCTTGTGCCAGGCTACGTGCACGTTGAGGCCACGTGAAGTTTCGAACACCCGCTGGTAGAAGGTCACGGGGTAGACCCAGGTGCCATGGGTAGACTGACTGAGATGACTGGGTGATGCACCACTTTTGCCCCCTACTCTGACAACTTGCTGTGCTTTAGCCACCCGACGCTACGCTCATTGTTGTAAGTGTCGCTCCTCCGCCCTCCATTGTTGTTAGAGGGCGACTGCCATCAACTGCCCAGAAGCGTCCTTCACGAGCCTCCTCCACAGAGGCCGATCCTGACACCGCTGGTACCAGTCATCGGCAAGTCCACTCAGCTCCACATCCTCCTGTACCACATCAGCTCCATCTCTTCTCTAGCCCGTGCTGCGCCCGTTTAGCCCCCTCGATCCGGCCGAACAAAAGCTTTTCAGGCATGCGGTGGCTGGGCATGCGACCTATATGACCCAGCCAACGCAGCCTTGCCTGCCGGAGGTGCTTACCGATGGGATTTTGTCCAGATCTTTCAAGGATTTGTGTGCTCCTCACACAATCCAGCCTGATTAAACCCAGGATGGATCGCAGGCAGGCCAGCCTAAATGTTTCTAACCAGCGAAGATGTTCCATTAGGGGGGTCTACGTTTCGCAAGCGTAGAGGAGGGAATGAATGTGGCTGAGAAGACCTGAAGCTTCGTGCGGAGCGACAGACCAGGTAGCTTCCACAAAGCATTACGCAACCATGAAAATATGTCGCTCGATTCGAAGTGAGACCTCTGCCGTCAAACTGGAGCCGGTCATGAGCACATTGCCCTGGTATGGGAAATTCTCCACTCTCTCCACAACTGCTCTATCACCAATTGGGAGTTGTGGGGGTGGAGTGTCTGATGGTACAAAATACCCAGGCAGGTGCTTTGTTTTAGTGGGGCTGATATTAAGGCCCCACCTCTTAGTGGAAAGCTCCAGGTTCAGCAGCAGCACCTCCAACTCCTCCTATGAGTGAGCAGCAATTACCAGATCATCAGCATACATAACATGGTTGACCAATAAGGAGCCATCCCTTGACCGCACCCGGGCAACGATCAGCCTCCCATTGTATCTATACCAGGTGGAAATTCCTCCGGTACAGCCATCGAAGGCTTCATGAACTACGTGGTCGAAATAGATGTAAAATAATGTGGGAGCCAGAGGACATCCCTGTCGCACCCCAAGGTGAACAGGGAATGGCTCCGAATACCGGCCAAGTAGTTTTACCCGGGCTCGCTCACTATCATGAAGGTCCTTAATGATCATGAGCAGAGGGTCAGGGACTCCGAAAGCAGGAAGAACAACCCAGAGCCCAGGCCTACTGATGATATCATAGGCCTTGACCAGGTCAATAAAGCAGAGATATCGCTCTTGTTGGAATTCCCAAACACCTCTGCTGTAGCAGACGGACAGAAAATATGGCATCTGTGCAGGACCGCCCTTTCCTGAAACCGCATTGGGGCTCCGCAAGCCTCTCCTCAGTGTGCCTAGCCTCACAGAAATGCTCAGAAAATTTGAAAACCTGTTCCTGGGGGTGAGAGATTGGATCACCATTCTTTCCCCTAATGACGGTAATAGGTGTGGCACTACAGGTTACTTTTTTGATGGAGTTAAAGAGCGATTTGTGATCACGGGCCATTGAGGCAGACTCCATCTCCTCAGCAACCCACGACCACCACCCATCCTTGCAGCGCCTCACGGCTCTCCGAACCTCCGAACTAAGGCTGCGGTAAGCCTCCTCATTCTCTGACGTGGGATGCTGTAGACGATGAGAGTGGGCCTGTCGCTTTTTCTCAGCCAGCCTGAACACCTTCTCTGTCAGCCAGGGTCTCTGGGGAGGTCTGGACCGTGTACCCAAAGCAGCCATTGCAGCTGCATGAGCCAAAGTCCTAAACCTCACCCATTTCCCCTCGACATCAGGAGGAGTGGGTGACGATGCCAACCCCAGCTGCAAGCGATGATGAAATTCTCACTTAAAACTTTCATCAGCTAGCTGAGACCATGCCACTTTGGATTTTAACAGGGTCCTGGGTGTAAACCCACCACTGGAGTGGAAGAATTGCAGGCGTATCTTCGAGATGACAAGTCGATGGTCAGTGGGCAGATCAGCTCCATCGTAGGTCCTGGTGTCAAGGACATGGGCCTGCATCCGCTGTTCCGTGACTATGTAGTCCAACAAATGTTCTTGCTTGGACCCGGCATGCATCCATGATGTTGTGTGGATGCGCCGATGCCAGAACAGCTTGTTGGTAATTACAAGCCCATGGGCTGCACAAAAATCTAGCAGCCTCCTACCATTGTTATTTAACTGATCTGGCCCATGCCTTCTAATCACTCCAGACCAGGTGCCAGCATCATGACCAACTCGGGAATTGAAGTCGCCCAACAAGATGACTATCCCGAGGGGCCACTTTAGCCAGACCTGTGACAGGAGGTTATAGAAAGCATCTGACTCATCAGCCTTGCCTGCATCCCTCCACGGATGTTCGTCTTCCGTGGGGGCATAAGTAACTATGACCACCACTCCTCACCTCTGGTTGATAGGAAGGCGAGCCCAAAGTCGCCTGGGGCTTACAGCTTCCCACAACTCACCGCCACACTCCCACGCCCCCTTCATTCTTTTGTTCAGAAGAAAAGCCATTCCCTGTTGTTTGTCAGTCTCCTGCCCCGAGTAGAGAACTGTCCACTCCTCATGGTGGCAGGAGCCAGAGCCAGTCCACCGAACCTCCTGAATACCACAGAGATCCAGGTTGTACCGGTCCAGCTTCCGACAGAGGAGTGGCAGCCTCTCCTCCGCAGTGAGCGTTTGAACATTCCACGTGGCCACACGTGTGGTTTTTTGTTGTTTCTGGAGGAGCCCCGAGGGTAAGGATTCAGTCTCCTGGCTCTGCCAAATAGGGTTTGGCTCACTAACACACACTTACTCACTTACACACACTTACACATTTCCTCGCACACTCACTTAGACATACACTCGCACACTCACACACACTCACTCACACTCATTTACACACACTTACACACTAACTTACTCACACACACTCACTAACACACTCACTCACACACTCACACACACACTCACACACTCACTCACATGCTCACTTACACACACTCATCTATCTGCAACTCTCTGCGTCTCCATCCTCCACATCAAGTGCCTCCTTCACAATTAGGCTACCAAATTAAAAGCCGAGGCTCTCCCTATAGAATCGAGGAATAGTTACATCAAATTCAAGCACATCTACTGTTAGACCGTTAGGACTTCAGCAAGATATGTGCGTAAACAAAAATAATTAAATACAAAATTACCCACGCACAGAACCCTCTTTCCATAACGTAATAGTGATTGTGCATGTGTGGGTGTACACCTGTCTGTTCGTCTTTGTGTGTGGGTGTGTGGCGAGCGGTTAACGCATTGCACCACGAATCCGGCCACCCGAGTTTGATTCCCGCTCATAGCCAACACCGGTGACGGTTATCTGAACTGGTCCTAGGTCTGCCCTAGATCGACTCAGCCTAAAATGAGTACCTGGTGCGGTGTGTAAAAACATCGCCACTAAAGGAGACAAAGGCGGCCCGGGCGTGGTGCTGGCAACCCACCCCCTCGTGTGCCGTGCCGGCCTTGACAGGTGCAGCTCGCTAACAGCACTTGCCCCAACAGTCCGTTAAGACTATACGGGGGGTTTTGGTCTCTGTGGTGCGCGTTACTGTCCACCAGACGAGACAGCACCCACAGGGATGGTGAGGATCGATCTTCGGTACTTGACCACACTCGGTGTTGTTGAAACGAGTAAGTTCATGGTGCGATTTGTGTCTTGAAAGAATGCCATGCAGGAGATGGGTGAGAGATCAACTCACGGGAGAGAAATAAAAGTGACTCTTTGCTCTTTTTGAACCTCGTCCCCAATCTAACACAGAGAGAGGGAGGGGGCCTGCCTATACACATCTTGCAGTTCACCAGCGTTGGTTGAAGCAAGCCTGACTCTGCTGACGAGACACAATGAATGTTCAAACCGGTGCTGAGTTTGCGTGTATCGGACAAAATGCGAATGAAATAATACGCTCCCAGACGGTTGTGTGGCTGACGTGGAGGGACAACCGTGGGAGCGAGGGATAGTGTCGTGCCTCATTTTCTCCACACTGACGCCGGCGATTATTCTACCAAACCTGTGGGTGCCGGGTTCCCGGTGCCACGCGACTCTTTGGTGAAGCTCCGAGCTCGGGGGACCCCCGTCTCGTCGCCGGCACGCGCCGGGACGTGACGCCGCGGTACCGGGCTGCAAAAAAATCCCTGACGGGGTTTTTGCTAAACCTCGGCGAAGCACTTCACCCGTACCTTTCTTCTCCTTCTTCTCCTTCTCTTCCTCCTCCCCGCCGGCGCCCAGCAGCGTGAAGATGATACCCGTCTGGGAGTTGATGCCGATGGCCGTGACGAGCATCCGCCCTGAGCCCTCCATCACGTGGGTCCCTGGACACGCGCGGATCAGAGGAGCGCACGAGCGCGCAAGCGGCTAAACACGGCTGGACCGCCGCGTCCGGTTCTTCGGTCGATGCCAGTGGCTCGCAAAAGGGGATGGGGGGCGTGTGGTGCTGCAGGATTTGCATTTGTGTTTCAACGACAGTTTTTGAGCACAGGGCCCAAAGGGCCAAAAATGTCAAGCGGCCAGCAAGAAAGAGCACGATCAAACATTTAACAGAAACGAGCTTAACGCGTTTATTGAACCGAGCGAGTTCACCGTTATTATCATTGTTGTTGTTATTATTGTCATACGAGCTTGGGAGAAGAAAAGAGACGACGGAAGGGAACTGCAGAGCGGAGCCACGCGGGGGAAGGAGCGAGACGCGTCGTGACCTGCGGGCGGTGGGCGAGCGGCATGCGGGCGAGACGACGACGCGGGGCCGCCCGTGACGCGGAGACGCGGCAAACCTGAGAGGAGCATGGGGTCGCGGTCAATGGTTTTGCGCACGTGGTCCGACTCGCCCGTCAAGGAGCTCTCGTCGATCTTGAGGTCGTTGCTCTGGATGAGCACACCGTCAGCCGGGAGCAGGTCCCCTGCAGACAGAACAAGCGGTCGCTCGCGTCACACCTCTAACACGCGGTCGCTCGCGTCACAACTCTAACACGCGGTCACTCGCGTCATGACTCTAACACGCGGTCGCTCGCGTCACAACTCTAACACGCGGTCACTCGCGTCATGACTCTAACACGCGGTCGCTCGCGTCACAACTCTAACACGTGGTCACTCGCGTCACACCTCTAACACGTGGTCACTCGCGTCATGACTCTAACACGCGGTCACTCGCGTCATGACTCTAACACGTGGTCACTCGCGTCATGACTCTAACACGTGGTCACTCGCGTCACAACTCTAACACGCGGTCACTCGCGTCACACCTCTAACACGCGGTCGCTCGCGTCACACCTCTAACACGCGGTCACTCGCGTCACAACTCTAACACGTGGTCACTCGCGTCACGACTCTAACACGCAGTCGCTCGCGTCACACCTCTAACACGTGGTCACTCGCGTCACACCTCTAACACGCGGTCGCTCGCGTCACGACTCTAACACGCGGTCACTCGCGTCACAACTCTAACACGCGGTCACTCGCGTCACACCTCTAACACGCGGTCACTCGCGTCACACCTCTAACACGCGGTCACTCGCGTCACAACTCTAACACGTGGTCACTCGCGTCACACCTCTAACACGCGGTCGCTCGCGTCACACCTCTAACACGCGGTCACTCGCGTCACAACTCTAACACGTGGTCACTCGCGTCACAACTCTAACACGCGGTCGCTCGCGTCACGACTCTAACACGCGGTCACTCGCGTCACGACTCTAACACGCGGTCACTCGCGTCACGACTCTATCACGCGGTCACTCGCGTCACACCTCTAACAAGCGGTCGCTCGCGTCACACCTCTAACACGCGGTCACTCGCGTCACGACTCTAACACGCGGTCGCTCGCGTCACACCTCTAACACGCGGTCACTCGCGTCACGACTCTAACACGTGGTCACTCGCGTCACGACTCTAACACGCGGTCACTCGCGTCACAACTCTAACACGCGGTCACTCGCGTCACACCTCTAACACGCGGTCACTCGCGTCACGACTCTAACACGCGGTCACTCGCGTCACAACTCTAACACGCGGTCGCTCGCGTCACAACTCTAACACGCGGTCACTCGCGTCACGACTCTAACACGTGGTCACTCGCGTCACGACTCTAACACGCGGTCGCTCGCGTCATGACTCTAACACGCGGTCACTCGCGTCACAACTCTAACACGCGGTCACTCGCGTCACACCTCTAACACGCGGTCACTCGCGTCACAACTCTAACACGTGGTCACTCGCGTCACGACTCTAACACGTGGTCACTCGCGTCACAACTCTAACACGTGGTCACTCGCGTCACAACTCTAACACGCGGTCGCTCGCGTCACACCTCTAACACGCGGTCGCTCGCGTCACGACTCTAACACGCGGTCACTCGCGTCACAACTCTAACACGTGGTCACTCGCGTCACAACTCTAACACGTGGTCACTCGCGTCACACCTCTAACACGCGGTCACTCGCGTCACGACTCTAACACGCGGTCACTCGCGTCACACCTCTAACACGCGGTCACTCGCGTCACGACTCTAACACGCGGTCACTCGCGTCACAACTCTAACACTCGGTCACTCGCGTCACACCTCTAACACGCGGTCACTCGCGTCACGACTCTAACACGCGGTCACTCGCGTCACAACTCTAACACGCGGTCGCTCGCGTCACAACTCTAACACGCGGTCACTCGCGTCACACCTCTAACACGCGGTCACTCGCGTCACACCTCTAACACGCGGTCACTTGCGTCACAACTCTAACACGTGGTCACTCGCGTCACGACTCTAACACGTGGTCACTCGCGTCACACCTCTAACACGTGGTCACTCGCGTCACGACTCTAACACGCGGTCACTCGCGTCACACCTCTAACACGTGGTCACTCGCGTCACGACTCTAACACGTGGTCACTCGCGTCACACCTCTAACACGTGGTCACTCGCGTCACACCTCTAACACGTGGTCGCTCGCGTCACAACTCTAACACGCGGTCACTCGCGTCACACCTCTAACACGTGGTCACTCGCGTCACGACTCTAACACGTGGTCACTCGCGTCACGACTCTAACACGCGGTCACTCGCGTCACACCTCTAACACGCGGTCACTCGCGTCACACCTCTAACACGCGGTCACTCGCGTCACACCTCTAACACGTGGTCACTCGCGTCACACCTCTAACACGTGGTCACTCGCGTCACGACTCTAACACGCGGTCACTCGCGTCACAACTCTAACACGCGGTCACTCGCGTCACGACTCTAACACGTGGTCACTCGCGTCACACCTCTAACACGTGGTCACTCGCGTCACAACTCTAACACGCGGTCACTCGCGTCACGACTCTAACACGCGGTCACTCGCGTCACAACTCTAACACGCGGTCGCTCGCGTCACGACTCTAACACGTGGTCACTCGCGTCACAACTCTAACACGCGGTCGCTCGCGTCACGACTCTAACACGTGGTCACTCGCGTCACAACTCTAACACGCGGTCACTCGCGTCACGACTCTAACACACGGTCACTCGCGTCACACCTCTAACACGTGGTCACTCGCGTCACGACTCTAACACGTGGTCACTCGCGTCACGACTCTAACACGCGGTCACTCGCGTCACGACTCTAACACGCGGTCACTCGCGTCACACCTTTAACACGTGGTCACTCGCGTCACAACTCTAACACGTGGTCACTCGCGTCACGACTCTAACACGCGGTCACTCGCGTCACAACTCTAACACGCGGTCACTCGCGTCACGACTCTAACACGTGGTCACTCGCGTCACACCTCTAACACGTGGTCACTCGCGTCACAACTCTAACACGCGGTCACTCGCGTCACGACTCTAACACGCGGTCACTCGCGTCACAACTCTAACACGTGGTCACTCGCGTCACAACTCTAACACGCGGTCGCTCGCGTCACGACTCTAACACGTGGTCACTCGCGTCACAACTCTAACACGCGGTCGCTCGCGTCACGACTCTAACACGTGGTCACTCGCGTCACAACTCTAACACGCGGTCACTCGCGTCACGACTCTAACACACGGTCACTCGCGTCACACCTCTAACACGTGGTCACTCGCGTCACGACTCTAACACGTGGTCACTCGCGTCACAACTCTAACACGCGATCACTCGCGTCACGACTCTAACACGCGGTCGCTCGCGTCACGACTCTAACACTCGGTCGCTCGCGTCACGACTCTAACACGTGGTCACTCGCGTCACAACTCTAACACGTGGTCACTCGCGTCACGACTCTAACACGTGGTCACTCGCGTCACAACTCTAACACGCGGTCACTCGCGTCACACCTCTAACACGTGGTCACTCGCGTCACGACTCTAACACGCGGTCACTCGCGTCACACCTCTAACACGTGGTCACTCGCGTCACGACTCTAACACGTGGTCACTCGCGTCACACCTCTAACACGTGGTCACTCGCGTCACGACTCTAACACGCGGTCACTCGCGTCACAACTCTAACACGTGGTCACTCGCGTCACGACTCTAACACGTGGTCACTCGCGTCACACCTCTAACACGTGGTCACTCGCGTCACGACTCTAACACGCGGTCACTCGCGTCACGACTCTAACACGTGGTCACTCACGTCATGACTCTAACACGCGGTCACTCGCGTCACAACTCTAACACGCGGTCACTCGCGTCACGACTCTAACACGCGGTCGCTCGCGTCACGACTCTAACACGCGGTCGCTCGCGTCACACCTCTAACACGCGGTCGCTCGCGTCACACCTCTAACACGCGGTCACTCGCGTCACAACTCTAACACGCGGTCACTCGCGTCACGACTCTAACACGTGGTCACTCGCGTCATGACTCTAACACGCGGTCACTCGCGTCACAACTCTAACACGCGGTCACTCGCGTCACGACTCTAACACGTGGTCGCTCGCGTCACACCTCTAACACGTGGTCACTCGCGTCACGACTCTAACACGCGGTCACTCGCGTCACGACTCTAACACGCGGTCACTCGCGTCACGACTCTAACACGTGGTCACTCGCGTCACACCTCTAACACGTGGTCACTCGCGTCACAACTCTAACACGTGGTCGCTCGCGTCACGACTCTAACATGCGGTCACTCGCGTCACACCTCTAACACGTGGTCACTCGCGTCACACCTCTAACACGCGGTCACTCGCGTCATGACTCTAACACGCGGTCACTCGCGTCACGACTCTAACACGCGGTCACTCGCGTCACACCTCTAACACGCGGTCACTCGCGTCACGACTCTAACACGCGGTCACTCGCGTCACGACTCTAACACGCGGTCACTCGCGTCACACCTCTAACACGCGGTCACTCGCGTCATGACTCTAACACGTGGTCGCTCGCGTCACGACTCTAACACGCGGTCACTCGCGTCACGACTCTAACACGCGGTCACTCGCGTCATGACTCTAACACGCGGTCACTCGCGTCACACCTCTAACACGTGGTCACTCGCGTCACGACTCTAACACGCGGTTGCTCGCGTCATGACTCTAACACGCGGTCGCTCGCGTCACGACTCTAACACGCGGTCACTCGCGTCATGACTCTAACACGCGGTCGCTCGCGTCACAACTCTAACACGCGGTCGCTCGCGTCACAACTCTAACACGTGGTCACTCGCGTCACGACTCTAACACGTGGTCACAACTCTAACACGTGGTCACTCGCGTCACGACTCTAACACACGGTCACTCGCGTCACGACTCTAACACGCGGTCACTCGCGTCACGACTCTAACACGCGGTCACTCGCGTCACGACTCTAACACACGGTCACTCGCGTCATGACTCTAACACGCGGTTGCTCGCGTCATGACTCTAACACGCGGTCACTCGCGTCATGACTCTAACACGTGGTCACTCGCGTCACAACTCTAACACGCGGTCGCTCGCGTCACACCTCTAACACGCGGTCACTCGCGTCATGACTCGAACACGCGGTCGCTCGTGTCACGACTCTAACACGCGGTCACTCGCGTCACGACTCTAACACGCGGTCGCTCGCGTCACGACTCTAACACGCGGTCACTCGCGTCACACCTCTAACACGTGGTCACTCGCGTCACAACTCTAACACGTGGTCACTCGCGTCACACCTCTAACACGTGGTCACTCGCGTCACGACTCTAACACGCGGTCGCTCGCGTCACGACTCTAACACGTGGTCGCTCGCGTCACGACTCTATCACGCGGTCGCTCGCGTCACGACTCTAACACGTGGTCACTCGCGTCACACCTCTAACACGTGGTCACTCGCGTCACGACTCTAACACGTGGTCACTCGCGTCACGACTCTAACACGCGGTCGCTCGCGTCACGACTCTAACACGTGGTCACTCGCGTCACAACTCTAACACGCGGTCGCTCGCGTCACGACTCTAACACGTGGTCACTCGCGTCACACCTCTAACACGCGGTCGCTCGCGTCACGACTCTATCACGCGGTCGCTCGCGTCACGACTCTAACACGTGGTCACTCGCGTCATGACTCTAACACGTGGTCACTCGCGTCACACCTCTAACACGCGGTCACTCGCGTCACAACTCTAACACGTGGTCACTCGCGTCACGACTCTAACACTCGGTCGCTCGCGTCACGACTCTAACACGTGGTCGCTCGCGTCACGACTCTAACACGTGGTCACTCGCGTCACGACTCTAACACGCGGTCACTCGCGTCATGACTCTAACACGCGGTCACTCGCGTCACGACTCTAACACGCGGTCACTCGCGTCATGACTCTAACGTGGTCACTCGCGTCACACCTCTAACACGTGGTCGCTCGCGTCACGACTCTAACACGTGGTCGCTCGCGTCACAACTCTAACACGCGGTCACTCGCGTCACACCTCTAACACGTGGTCGCTCGCGTCACGACTCTAACACGTGGTCGCTCGCGTCACGACTCTAACACGTGGTCACTCGCGTCATGACTCTAACACGTGGTCACTCGCGTCACAACTCTAACACGCGGTCACTCGCGTCACGACTCTAACACGTGGTCACTCGCGTCATGACTCTAACACGCGGTCACTCGGCCGATGCTCCTTCTTACGGACGACTTAGGGATTAGCAACTTCGAGATCTGTATGCAAGTTAAAAAGTCACAAAGCAGCTTAAGGTGAGGATCCATCTGCTGCTGCTACTACTGCCATCGCGTGACGTCGGCAAGTGGTTCATAACGTCTGCCGTTGGCTTGGTCAGTGGCTCTGTAGTCGCACTCCGGGGCTCCCCTTGAATTTGCACGACAGCTTTGCCGGGTAGTGGAAGGTTAATGATATGATATTTTTGGTGCAAAACAGCTACCATGTGGCGCAACCCAAAAACGAATACGGATCATCAAAATCGCTAAGATATCGCCGTGGTAAATAATACAATGGGCGGTGCGCGGAAAGAGCAAACAGTTGCCAGCGACAAAAAACCACCAATATTATAGGACAGAGAACACGAGGGGTCCGAAAAGTACGAAAATGCCGAACATGGGTCAGCACGCACGCAACTCTGATTTGTAAAATAAGCACCGGGAAATGCGCAGCACAGCTGGAGTCTTGAGATCCTTTGGGGGGGCCGCGTGAAGCCCCCCGCTGGCATTCACGTCTGTGGCGCTCGGCGGAGCGCGGCGTGGATACCGAATCGAGCGACTAACCGTATTTGACCTGCGCGATGTCCCCGACCACGATCTCGGCCACGGGTATCTGGATGACCTGGCCACCTCGGATCACCGAAAATTTCTGCTCCTGCTCGATGCGGCTCTGCAGACCACGGAATTGTTTCTCCTTGCTCCAGTCGTTGAAGGCCGTGACCACCACCACGCAGATGACGGAGAGCAGGATGGCGGCCCCCTCGATCCAGCCGGCCTCCGCCTCGCCCTCCTCCTCCACACCGCCTGCCGCGCTGCCACACACTGCACAAAGAGCAACAACAATGACAAGGGGGGGTTGCACCACGTCACCGCGCGTCATCAAGCGTCCCTTCACCACCCTCGTCACCGTCACATGGGCTGCAGCCGTTCCCATATCCATGATCGCCGCTCGTCATCATCAACCATGATCAATCCACTGCTGAAGGCCTCCCCAAGCCTCTGCCAACTCACACCACCCTGCGATGCAATGATCCAGCCAGCACCTGCACGTGAATTATTTCATCGCTGCATCTCCTCAGTGGACGCTCTCTCGGACGCGTTCCATTCCTTGGTCATCGGTCATCGTCCCTTCTAGAGGTGACATGTCCTGCACAAGCGAACTCGCCTTTTCTTCACAATTTGAACGATATCATTCACCTGCGTACGTTCCCTAATCACATTTCCCTCTGCCTGTCTCTCATTGTAATTCTGAATAAACATTGCTTGATGCTTCTCAGAGCACTCTTGCATTTTTGTCCTAGATTTTTCGTGAGTGACCGTGTTCCTGAACAAGTTGTCATGGCGGGCAGTACGCACTGATCGCAAAACTCTCCTCTCGAGGCACATCGCTTGAGTTCCCTTCTCATGACCAAGTTCAGATTTCCAAAAACACTCCAACTCCGCCTCTATAATTGGTCGTGTTAATTCTGGCCACGCCGGAGGTCGTCGTCGTTACGATCCCAAAAAACGGAACGAAGCTTCAAGCACGCCCATCGAAAAATTTCCGCGCGGAGCCCCACGTACAGTTATGGCAAAATCACCGAGCTGTGTGGCTCTTTTCAGAAGCGACCTAGCCACAAATGATAGCTCAACGAAGTGGCTTATCACTTGAAAAGTTATAGCAGTCAAATACTCTAAACACGTGATTCTAAATCTGAGGAGGAAAACCGGAGGGCCCGGAAAAAGAATCCACGTGACCACGGGGAGACAACACCGCAAACTCCAAATATACAGCAGGCGTCGGGGTCAGGAACGAACCCAGGCCCTCCTGCATACCGGGCGAGGTAGTCAACATCTCGCAGAGTCGGGATTGAACCCATGACCTCCTGCATACCAGGTGAGGCAGTTAACATCTCGCCACCACGAGGCGATGTGAAAACATGATGAAACAGCGCTTCACGTTCCTGCTCGCGAAGCTGTGGGCCGACCGGGTGGCTACTGGCGGCCGTGGAGCCCCCCTCCTCCCAGGCCCCCTCCCCCCCCCCACCGCCCCACTCACTGACCTTCGTTGTCACCCCCGGGGGGGTGGTAGAAGGAGAGGCCCAGCGAGATGAGAGCCGCCACCTCCAGGATGATGAGCGTCACGTCCTGCAGGGCCTCCCACACTAACTGCAGGAAGGTCTTGGCTTTCTTGGGAGGGATGAAGTTCTGGCCGAACACCGATATCCTGATGTCCAGGTCCGAGGAACTCCCGCTCAGCCCTGCGGAGGGGGGGAGAAGATGGTGTGGCGACGTCACCCACGGGGACTGCAGGGGTGGAGTGAGTGGGTGGGTGAGTTGAGTGAGTGGGTGAGTGAGTAGAGTGAGTGGGTGAATGGAGTGGGTGAATGAGTGGGTGGGTGAGTGGAGTGAGTGGGTGAGTAAGCGGAGTGAGTGAGTGGGTAAGTGAGTGAGTGGGTGAGTGAGTGGGTGGGTGGGTGAGTGAGTGGAGTGAGTGGGTTAGTGAGTGGGTGAGTGGAGTGAGTGGGTGAGTAAGCGGAGTGAGTGAGTGGGTAAGTGAGTGAGTGGGTGAGTGAGTGGGTGGGTGAGTGAGTGGAGTGAGTGGGTGAGTGAGTGAGTGAGTGGACTGAGTGGGCGAGTGAGAGGGTGGGTGAGTAGAGTGAGTGAGTGGGTGGGTGAGTGAGTGAGTGGGTGGGTGAGTGAGTGGGTGGGTGAGTGGATTGAGTGGGTGAGTGCATGAGTAAGTGGGTGAGTTATTGTGACCTGTAGTGGCGGTGGTTAAACAATCTGCTAGAGTCCAACCATGGTAGTAGCAAGAGAAGAGTAAACACGAGGTGACTGGGTACAGGTGGGCGAGTGACTGGAGGGAATTAGCGCTGGATCATCAATCATCCTGACCGTTGCTTTTATCTGAATTATATCCGGTGCAGTGGGGTAGGGACTGGGAGCACCACTCCAGAAATGACAGCAGCAGCAGCAGCAGGATTCCAACACCACACAAAATGTGTGCTCTGTGTGGCAGAACTAATTGTTCGGAGTTAAAGAGGATTTGGCATGGAACGGAAAACCAAGCTTCTTCGAAGCCTCCTAAGCCAGATGAATAACACGACCATTCCATGACAGCCCAGATGAGGTTGTTGTGCTAAAGCAGATGAATTATTTTACTATGGCTAAGAATACCGTTGTTAAATATGCAGAGAGGATCTGTGGATTTGCAATCTTAGGCGATGTTATCTTTTCCTGGGGTCGCTTTACCACCTCGACTGGGGGGCAGGGTGACGCTCATGTGGAGCGCTCCGCGATGACCCAGCATGAAGAGGGCGCGACTCGACGTCATCATCGCCGCCATCATTATCGTCATCGTCGTCATCATCTCGTGATACCCACTCTTGGGCCGCTCCACCCAGCTGCGCTTTCACAGCTTTGACCGAAAAGTCTGCGCTGGCCCACGGTCACGGCCGGCACTGCGGGCCTGGACGGGCCGCAGGCCCCTGCGGACGGACCGCTCTCTCGGTGGACAGCAACCACGGCTCCGTCCCATCGAGCGCTCACAGAATCAGAATCGTAACTTAGAATGGAGGGGGAAATCCGATGAGCTAACAAGCTCTTTTTCACAGATTTCCAGTCGGGGCACGGGGCAGAAGGCTCGCTCCTCGAGGCGGATCCGGGGCCCAGCCATGCCAGGCCCTCCCTTGAACCATGCTGCTGTAATTTCACGTTACATAAACAGTTTTATGAGTAACTTGTCTGAGACAACTTTTCTTTCTGAAATTGTTTTTATTAGAGTTAGTTATATTTGTCCGCCAATTTCACGGTCTTCCGTAACATGATTGTTTTTGCTCTGATTTCAATTTGATGAATTGCTGTTCTTGTTGTTGCTTTTGTCAGTCGTGACCCAGGTTCACTCCTTCAGATGAGGCCCTACCCTGGCCCCTTGAGAGTTCTCATCTGGTCAAACAAAATCAACCTGAAACTTAACATTGTCTGCTGTCTGTGCATTGTCAGGGAAATAATTTTGATTCAATTTCAGTATTTTTTAAAATCTGAATTCTGCGTTGGCTCCAGCTGTAGAGCAGCCTACAAAATGTGCCACGTGGAAGAAGATTATCACCATCAGGGGTGCTTCCTGCCAGTGTTCCCACTGCGACAGCATTGGGGTCACCACCTGTCCAGATTTGACCCAAGCAGTCTGGGAGTTGGCACCTCTGCCTTTGGGAAGTAGGAAAATTATTTGTATCGAGATCAGGCCCGTGGTATTGTGTACGAAGTTTATTTCGGTCAACTGCACAGTTTTGATTTATCTGGGCCGACTTGCGAAATATGTTGCAGGCCAGATTCGTTGACAGCAGCGCGTGTGGCACCGTCAGGATCGAGCGATTTCCTGCAGTGACACGCTCAGGGCCCTGTCCGCCACAATCATCGCCAGGCCCTCTCAGTGCCGAGCGTGTCTCAAATCTTTCTCGCCGCTCAGAATCCTTTCATGGGCAGTGTTTGTCTTTTTTTATTTCGTTCAGAGCACCATTTCACGAGTTCCTTCGTGAATTCCTCCTCCGAGTCAGACAGATTTTTCGCACACCCGGAGGATGAATGCCATTGACGGAAACGTCTCAAGGCCGGTGATGGAGCCGTGTAATGGCTGCCGGATACAGTGTGTCACTTTCACCTTTATCCTGCATCCCTTGGCCGAACTGCACCAGATACGCTTGGCGGCCGACAAAGGGGTTCATTTTCATCGTTACCCGTTTTGTTTATGCTATCGCGTCAACAATCGCTGGCTAAACTGTGGACGTCCGTAGGTCGCCACAGTGGAGAGGATAAGCCTTGCAGCGCGCTCACTGTCAAAGCGCAGCTCCCGCGGACATCGCGCACTCTTACTGCATGCGACCTAATTGACCATAAAAAACCTGATCACCCCCCCTCCCCCAACACCTCTTAGCCGCACCTCGGGCGAAATGATGAAATGGGCAGGCGACGTTCATCTCGCTCGCAACTCTGTGGGAGCGAGGAGTAAAGTCACCACCCGACGCAGCCAATTGGTGAAGGTTTGTCACGTAAACCAACTAGTTCAGTACTAACCGGTTGTGTGTTGAAGAGGAAAAACCCCACAACCATATACAATGAGAGTAGCGAGACGTTTCTCCACCAAACACACTACGGTCACCCGGGGTCGTCCGTCTACACCGCTGGGGATTGCCGCTGGATGGCTCCTGGGGGATCGTTTCCACGTGGCAGATCCAAGGTGTAGACGCGGGGGAGGGGGGTCGAGAAGGGGAGGGGGGGTCGGTGGGGGTGGAAGGCAAATCGTTGCAATCGCCTTCCCCCCGAGATCAGGAATATTTTATTGATATTTACCAAGGCAGATACAGTGAACGTGTTTTTATTATTAATGTTAGGGGCCCTATTCAAAAACCTTGACATTTGTGGGCCACCACCCCCATCTCCCCCCTGGGAAGTTTATAGATCCACGGCTAATTGCCTCGAGTTTTTGTACTCGACTCAGAGTCCAATACACACCCCAGGCAACAGCTCCTTTAAAGTATTAAAGCTTTCGTGACTGCATAAAATTACTCATTGGTTTTTTCGGTAAAGTCACGTATGTATAAATACAATAAAATCATATTAAAACAAAAAACAATCACGACGTTTCGATCACAATGCAAGCGATCTTCATCAGGTGTCAAGAACAAATCACGGAGGTAAATACAACAAAAAGATGAGAGACGAGAATTCAACAAACCCGAAAAAACATTATGTGAAGCACATCCAGTCAGGCCAACAACACAGTTAGACACTTCCTGGCGGACCACGAATTTCAGAAGAGTGTTAAATTTCGTGTTCAACCTTTGGATTGCACATACCAGCATAGATAGAATGAAAAATACGAGGTACACGGTCGGTAGAAATACATATACAAGTCCACCAAGAGGTAAGGAGGGAGGAAAGACGGACAGGGAGGCAGAGAGAGAGGGGGGGGTGCCGGAGGGATGAACAGAAGATTAAATAGGAAATACGGTTGGAGGGGGGGAGGGGTCAGAGCGAGAGCGGCAGCTCAAACACGCACATCTTACACATACAAAACGGCATGTTTGAGCTGCCGCTCTCGCTCTGGCCCCTCCCCCCCTCCAACCGTATTTCCTATTTAAGCTTCTGTTCATCCCTCTGCCCCCCCCTCTCTCTGCCTCCCTGTCCGTCTTTCCTCCCTCCTTACCTCTTGGTGGACTTGTATATGTATTTCTACTGACCGTGTACCTCGTATTTTTCATTCTATCTATGCTGGTATGTGCAATCCAAAGGTTGAACACGATATTTAACACTTCTGAAATTCGTGGTCCGCCAGGAAGTGTCTAACTGTGTTGTTGGCCTGACTGGATGTGCTTCACATAATGTTTTTTCAGGTTTGTTGAATTCTCGTCTCTCATCTTTTTGTTGTATTTACCTCCGTGAGTTGTTCTTGACACCTGATGAAGATCGCTTGCGTTGTGATCGAAACGTTGCGATTGTTTTTTGTTTTAATATAATTGTATTGTATTTCTACATACGTGACTTTACCGAAAAAAACAATGAGTAGCTCCTTTAAACTCCTCCAATAGATTAAAGTGCTGTTAGACACCGAGACTGGACACTGGGGCTTCAGATGAGCTTCCTAACAAGGATGTTTAAGGCAGAGGACAGAGATTCAACTCAACTATATTCTTGGTTCTTTCAGTAAAGTCACGTAGAAGGGAAACAATTAAATAATAAAAATGTTAAACAATAGAATTTTCACGACGTTTTGACTGCAACACAAGCAATCATCATCAGGTGTGAAAAACCACAGCAAGAAAATTTAAAAAAGTGGCGTTTTTTTAAACGTTAGCACCACGGAGAGCGATTTGGCAGTTTGTTCAGATGGACGAGTCCATCTATGTTTGGAAAAGAGGAGGGGGAGACGAAAATAATGGATGTGGTTTGAAAGCCACCGTAAGCGTGAACAATCAATTAAGACCCGAAATGGTTGATCAAATCCGTCCAATGATTGCTAAGCCAGAATCCATCTTCTCGGTTGAAATTGTCTCTGTGTTTGGATATGTGGATAGCCTCATGAACGAATCTCTCATGGTAGCCAGATGGCTTGCAAAGAACCTCTGTCTTGGATAAGTCAATGTCATGTGAGCCTACTGAATTATAACAGTGATCTGCCACGGCCGAGGTGTTGGTCCTACCGTGTTTTAGGTCTGCTTTGTGTTCACGGATGCGGTCCGAGACATGTCGTTTGGTTTCT